CCCCAAAACCCCAAAACCCCAAAACCCCAAAACCCCGCGTATAATTTAAAGTTGAATATTTTAAACTTTCTGATAAAATATGTCTACTAGGAAGTCACAAGGCAAGTCTTCAAGCAGGAAACCCTCTGCAGGGAAGAAGACCACTCAGATGAAATTAAGTTTTGCAACTGGAAAAGTTAGTATTGATAAGAAGACTCCAAAGCTTGATGTAGATACATCTCAAAAGTCATCAAGCGGGAAATCCATTGTCTCCAAATCTAAGGAAGAAATTACTCTGTCTAGGAAGAGAAAGCCGAAGGATATTGAAAATGGAGAAGAGACCAAAAATGGTCATGCTAAATCCAGTCCTGACACTACCCAGGAAGAGTCCAAGGAGATCCTAGACGATGATGCTATCAAGATGGAGCTTAATCTGAGCTATAAGGATGTTTCTAAAATGAAGTCTTTAACTGATAAATCCTTTGATCCCATAAAAGATGCACCCTATGAGAGACATCAACATATCCCATTTAGTTTAGTTGCTCATGCATGCCAAATCATTGAGGAATGCAAAGGAGAGAAATCTCAGGATCTAGTCAAAGAGATCTTGGCCAATGTCTTCAGGACAGCCATTTGTCTCAAACCCGCTGAGTTAATTCCTCTATTCTACTTCTTCATTTGTAGACTTGGGCCTGAATATGAAGGAATCGAAACAGGAGTCGGAAATGAAATGGTCGTTAACGCAGTAACTCAAGCTTGTGGGAAGTCTAAAACAAAAATCAGAGAAGAAGTCAAAAAGATCGGAGATCTTGGGACTGTAGCAGCAGAAAGTAAAGGAAGCATCAAATCTCTGGCTAGCTTCTTCAAGCCTAAAACTCCTAAAATTGATAAATCAATGACTGTTCTCAGAGTCTTCGAGACATTTATGAGTATTGCAAAAAGAAAAGGGAGTTCTTCAGTGGGAGACAAGACAAACTCAATCATGAAATTATTTACAGACTCTAAACCTGAGGAGGTTAAGTACATCATCAGGTGGCTCGAAGGTCATTTAAAGATAGGAGCTGCTGAGAAAACAGTCGTGTCTGCTCTTGCAAGAGCATTTACTTATACTCCAGGAGATCCCAAAAATTTCCCTCCTTCCATTCTAAATTACAGGAAAAAGAAGGGAGAAACTAGGTTTAATGAAAGAGAAGCTGAGTTAGATGAAACTATTAAAGAAGCAGTCTGTGTTTTTCCTAATTATGACAAAATGATTGAGGCTCTCCTTGAACTAGGAGATTCTCATGTCGAAGAACTGCCCAAAAAATGATATATGAGAGTCGGAATCCCTGTCAAACCCATGCTTGCGAAGCCCACTACAGGAGTCAATGTAATCTTAAAAAGATTTGATGGCATAAAGTTCACTTGTGAATATAAATATGACGGATTCAGAGGGCAAATTCATTACCAAAAGCAAGATCCTGATGATCCAACTAAGAAGAAGATTGGAATCTTCTCAAGAAACCTTGAAAACATGACTGAAACCTATCCGGATGCTATTCAGTATTTATCAGAAAACGTAGATGAAAAAGTTGACAACTTCATCATTGACTGTGAGATTGTACCATATGATATTAGAAACAAGAAGATTTTACCTTTCCAGCTCCTCACAACGAGGTCCCGGAAAAATGTAGACATCAAAGATGTTGAGATCCAAGTATGCCTGTTCCTCTTTGATATCCTCTACCTCAACGACCAAAATGATATCATCAAGAAGACCTTCAAGGAAAGAAGGGATATTATGAAGGCCACTTTCCCTGAAGAAGAAGGAAAACTCATGTACGCAGTCTCAAAAGATGCAGAAAAATTTGAAGAAATCGAGGAATTTCTCAATGACTCAATCAAAGACTCTTGTGAAGGCCTCATGGTCAAAACTCTTGAAGAAAACTCAACTTACCATCCTAGTAAAAGATCGTTCAACTGGCTTAAACTCAAAAAGGATTACCTAGAAACATCTTTGGGAGACTCCCTCGATCTTGTTGTCGTAGGGGCTGATTACGGCAAAGGTAAAAGAACTGGCTTCTACGGATCATTCCTCTTCGCCTGATTTGATGAGGATGCAGAAGTATTCCAAACCCTAGTCAAGGCAGGGACAGGGTTTACAGATGAAGACCTCAAGAAAATGCACGAAGTTCTAAATGAACTTGAGACAACAGATCCTGATCCAAGAATTAAATATAAAGAAAAGAATATTGATACCTGGTTTACTCCAAAACTAGTTTTAGAAATCAAAGCAGCTGATCTTACTATCTCTCCAACTTACATGGCAGCACATGGCAGAGGGGAAGAAGACAAGGGCATCAGTCTCAGATTCCCTCGGTTCATTAGAGTAAGAGATGATAAGAAGCCAGAAGACTGCTCAACCAGCGATCAGATTTACTCAATGTACAGGAGCCAGCAAGCAGTTGCCCAAAACGACATTTGTTTTGATGACTACTAAATCCAATAATTGATGTTGTAAAAGGGGTTTTGGGGTTTTGGGGTTTTGGGGTTTTGGGG